CGATTTAGATTTGTCGAATAACTCGTCTTTATTGATCACATTTACGTATATATCTATAAGGTTTCGTGGTCCGATTGACCAAACAAATTCTTTTCAATTAATTAATTTTTAATTAAGGTTTTGGTTGAAATAAAAACATGAAAAATGGCAAAAAGGAGGGAAAATTCAAAAAGGTGGGGTTGAGATGGGAAGTTGGTGTCCGAGTGGATCGAAGTCACGATAGCTCAAGTGGTAGAGCAGCGGCGTATTTAACCGAAGGTCGTGTGTTCGAATCCCGCTCGTGACACTGACTTTTTAATCTCAACCAAAACCTTAATTAAAATTAATTAATTGAAAAGAATTTATGTATATAATAATACCGTCGGTTTTGACCAATTTAATCTAATCAATAATGATTTACATATTTTTTACGTTTTTCATTAAAATTATCATCATTATTTTTTTCAATTAATTATACTTTTTATCTAAGGTATTGATTGAGTTGAAAAATTGTAACGAGCGGGATTCAAATCCATGACCTTTGGCTGGGGTCAAATTGTCTTCTCATTTTCTTCGCATGATGAATAAATGACATCGTTAACTCTTTTGAAGAAGTTCAATTCCAACTATTTGCAAATGGCTTTAAAGGAGTGACAAATTTATTGAGAATAAGCGATGTTTAAAAAACGACTGCTTTGTAAGTGGCTGCAAATATATTTTATAAGCATTTTCTGATTTTCGCTGATTTTCTTTTCGACGGGACGACTAAGTTTTAGGCAAAATGGCCCGAGTGAAAAGTAGACTTTCGAGTATAGTCCAGGTATAAGAACAACTATTTTAAAAAAAATAAAAAGTCTAGGGTTATTGAATGGTATTTTTTCTCCGTCTTGAGCCAAATCTTACTTAAAGAAGGGATTACCGATTTTACCAAAACTTGCACGGGAGCAGGAGTCTTCGGGATGAACTCAAAGACTGAACTGACGGTAAACCAAGGTAAATACAGGGTGAATTGCTACTCGTGCTACAAACTTCTCCAGTAGATTCTTCACCCTAAAATGAACAAAAAAGTTCATATTGTCCATGGTCCGATTCTCAACCATTTCAGAGTAATTTCGCTTTTTATCGATTTTGAAAGATATCACGTCCTGGCGTCGGAAAATCGTGATATCTTTTAATCTAAACATTTCTCTGAAAATCTAATAGCACCGTTGAAATTCCCGTTAATTTTTCAATAAGAAGATGACGGTGGCAAAATGTTTGGGCTAATTTTTTGTGTTTTATTTCAGCCAGAACTACAAAAAGAGTGGAAAATTGTGTAAATCGGAAAGTGTATAAAGTAATCCAGAGTTTCTAATTTTAGTCTCAGAAGGCAGCAAATTTGAGGAAAACTACCTGATTTAATAACGCTTCCAACGCACTCGTCATTTTCTTATTTAGTGGTTGTGAGACCAAGATGTTGATGACAAAAAGAGAAAAAATGGTGGTTCAAGGATTGCTAATGTTTGAGAGTGACTTGCTACTCGTGCTACAAACTTCACCAGTAGATTCTTGACCCTAAAATGAACAAAAAAGTTCATATTGACCATGGTCCGATTCTCAACCATTTCAGAGTAATTTCGCTTTTTATCGATTTTGAAAGATATCACGTCCTGGCGTCGGAAAATCGTGATATCTTTTAATCTAAACATTTCTCTTAAAATCTATAAGCACCGTTGAAATCCCCGTTAATTTTTCAATAAGAAGATGAAGGTGGCAAAACGTTTGGGTCTTTCTTCCTTGACCTTCTAGCTGTTTGTAAACTTCTTAAGCATTACATACTAAATGGGCATTAAATTAAATTAAAAAATTTCAATGGAATTATGATTTTGATTCTCTCTAAAAATTAACGGGGATTTCAACGGTGCTTATAGATTTTAAGAGAAATGTTTAGATTAAAAGATATCACGATTTTCCGACGCCAGGACGTGATATCTTTCAAAATCGATAAAAAGCGAAATTACTCTGAAATGGTTGAGAATCGGACCATGGACAATATGAACTTTTTTGTTCATTTTAGGGTGAAGAATCTACTGGAGAAGTTTGTAGCACGAGTAGCAATTCACCCTGTATACTACAGTTTTCCACTCTGAAATCATACCGATTGAACACTGAGCCAGAAAAATAAAAAGGCTAGGAATTCTCTGACAATCAGGCAGCACTAAAGGTGCTAGCCTAATGCGAGGTGAAGGCAAAGAGTGTCTGGAAGTGCATGGAGGCCCTGAGGGAAGTCAGTGTCACTAATGACCTGACACTTGCATGGGTCCCTGTGCACTCGGGGCATAGAGGGAACGAAAAGGATGACATGTTGGCCTAGGTTCTGAACCCCACTGTGGCTTAGCATTCTGCCACAAAAGACGATACATCTGAAAATGGATCCTTAATGAGTCCACCTCATTGTTTCAACAAAAAACCTGATGGAACAATACCACAGGTAGGAGGCATCCGAGTAAGTTCATAGAAGGACCATCCGCAAAACTTACGAAAGAATTGCAAAGACAACCGAAACCGAACCAGGATTCTGGCTGGACTCCTGACAGGGCACTGCCACTTAAGAAAGCACATGCACCGGATATGAGTACAGACAGAAGAAACACTGTGCAGATACTGCCAGGAAGAGGAGGAGACCGCAGAACACATTCTATGTTTCTGTGAAAGTCTATATAGGTACAGCTTCTTGCAAGTAGGACAAGAAAAACCGCAAGCCAGATCGTACACCCAGGAACCGCTGGCAAAGCTGTGGAGGATGGTTAATAACCTAAAGTTGGCTAGTGAGTTATAAAAAAACAACAATAGGTCTATTCAGGTCGAGTTGCAGAAGGCCTTGTGCCGCCTCTTTTATCCCTAACTTTTTGGGTGATAGTAAGTCGAAATATATTAGACACATGACCCAGCGTTCTACTATTCTTAAGTAGTAAAGAAAGTTAAATCTCGATCCCCATCACTACAGTATTTACAAGTTATCCTTACTGCACGGATCACTAGATTGAATATTGATTTATTCAATCAAATGCGCTCCAAAATAAAAATTAGCTCTGGTTGCAGTTGCAGTCGGGAATTGGCTGAATTTCTTCTTCTTGCATTTCATGGCACGCCGTAGAGGAAAGGAACGTTGAAAATTTAATGAAGAAATTGCGGTTCTTATTATACTCAGCTGTTATTTTGAGAGAAGTGTGGAGGATGACGGAATGTTTAATATAGAACGAATCCTTCCTCCAGCGCCGTTCCACAGAGCCTCTTAAAGGTAATTAGTTTCCAACCGATGTAGGTATTTAGAGCCTCTCGTTTAATTCGGAGCACATATTGAAACGTAAACGGGCAAAAATACCGTCATGGGTGGTAAAAGTTTAATTTATTTTTTTTAAGCCGGTTTCGGACGTGCAGCAAGAACCGCTGGTTAATTTTACGTGAGATAATAAGAATATTTCCCAGCTCTTAAAAAAAGGAGAGAAAAGTTCCGATCGTGTCGGTTTGCCGTATCGATTCACTCCCCTTGATGAAAATTACACTCCGGATAAAATATTATAAAATCACGATTATTCTGAATAAGTAATTTATTCTATTGTGATTTATTGAAGTCCGCAAAGCGATAAGCGTGTAGTTTGATTATTTTCGTCTATGTACGAAGTTTGGCATCAGTATTGTTTTGTGTTTGTTTTATTAAAAATAATTTATTTCATAATTGTTCGGGCTAAAACAGCTAGAATAGGCATACCATGAGGATATAGAACGCTGTAGTTCTATCGTTTAAGCATAAATCGTCAAAGTTTGTATCTACATTAAAATATTATATATATACTATCTGTACAAAGTAAATCTCCATTGAGCAAAAGTGGAAGTTACAGGATTTGACTGAGCCCTGCAGTTCGACTCCTAAGTATAATCGGTCTGATAAGTGTTTTATAAAAGGTTGTTTTGTTGAGTGTATTTAGTGTTGGTCTCAGTAGGTGTCTGAGTATTCAATTTCTTTTGTTAAGTTCTTGTCTTTTTAATCTTGTTGGGTTCCATGCATGTCTGCTATTTAAGGAAAGCCCACCTTGGTTGGATGGTAGACAGATTCGACGTTTGAACGTAAACACTACTTGTCGGCTTTTTTGCTCGTATAACCTGATCCGTCACCGAGGGCACCAGTCGGTAATGAGATGCTGGATTGCTTCTTTCATTGAAAAAGGATTTGAGTGTGTAAAACGGATTGCGGTATTTCCTCCTAGTTTGTGAGTTTGAATGTTGTGAGATGTTCGGATCATCACAAATTGTTACCCGACACAATAACTGTCTAGCCGAGTGGTTAACATGATGAGAGGCTCGGCTCGTAGAGCCCAAGTTTGTTGGTTCGAGGCCAAGCACCGTCCCGGCCCTTTTTTCTCCCACCCCTTTTATTCTCACCCTCCAAAAAATACGCATACGCATATATCTTATCTAAATAATTTGTAATCTAAATAATAATTTATCTAAAATAAATAAAAGGTATAAAGTTGACCCCATTGGACAATCATTGTTCAAACCTTTGAAGGCATTGTAAATAAGACCTTAAAACACCGCTGAAGATAATACAGCAATATACGTCTTATCTGTGGCTTGTAACATCAGATTTTGTCTTTTTCAAAGCGATCTTACAGTAAATTATTTTGCAATTTATATTAATTTTGGTTTTACCTTGTCAACTCTGCTGGGTCCGGGCTGGTGGGAGATGGTCGCGACTGGCCTATGTGGTCTGGACGAGCCCTGGAAGGGCGGAGGCGACGATCTGCTTGTTGAGGCGGCTGAGCATGCTGCTGACAGCCTGCAAGCATAATAGTACATAGCCATTCCGCTTGCCCCCTGTCATCCTCCCACCATCTGTAACACACAAAAAAATCAAAGAATTACACCTAGTTGATTAATTCGTTACTGAAGATGGCGGAACTTATACACCAACTTCAAGGACATGAATAAATATAATGTTTTGCGAATCATATGTTATAATAAATATTCAATTTATATGAAGTTGACTCTATGGTTACGGACATTTCGACCTTACATTAATTTCTAAATTAACAAAAAACACAATAACACAATAAAATGGCGGCGAAAGAGACAATGCCAGTCGATTCAAACATCTTCACATCAACATACAGACACGACTACATATATTTCAACGACGTCAAGAAAGTTATCAAGTATGATTTCATTTTACAACTTTTTAATCTAAAGTTTAAATTGGAAAATTATTCTAGGCCTTACATAGCCGACGAGTTTCGACTGTCTCCGGAGCAAGAGAAGAAATTCAGAAGCGAGTACAGCGAAGCCTCGCGAAGACAACTAGTACTTTTTTTCTTAACAACTGACAGTAAAGTCCTATCTGTTGCTAATCTATAATTCGTTCCGATAGGATGCCGTCGCCAATTTGAACGTCAAAGCGTTCGAGGAGGAAAACGCGAGGATATTAAAAGAAAGGATGAAATCCGTCTACACAGTCGATTATAGAGGAGATCAAGGTTAGTTGAAAATAAATGCCGTAGAAATTGTAAGTACAATTTTTGCAATAAAAAATCTACCAGCATTTTTAAATTTAAAAAAAATGTTATAAAACAAAACAGAAATTTATTACTATTCAATTCTATGCAGGTGAAGTTCAGAAGACGGTCGACACCGCCACGCTGCTCGATCCGGATAGAGACGCGATAATCCTCTTCGCCGAGAGGATGTACATCCACCAGCCTAACTCAAGGCCAATCAAACCACTTCCATCCTCCAGAAGAGGTTAAAAATATTCTCAACCCTTTTAAACCACAATTGACTTTATCTTTTTTTTTCAGTTTTTGGATATTCAGCTTTAAAGGATTATTTAACCAAACACACAGAGTACCAGGACACGATCAGCAAGGGCGGGTACAATATCATCAGGGCAGGACTGGACAGAGGGCTCGCACGTCTAGGGCCCAGGTTCGATTACAAAAAGGCAAACGCCGAGGTGCATAGGCTGAAGGCGAGGGAAAAGGACGAAGGCAAGGACGTTGTCATCGAGGACATCAAGCCCATCGACTACGAAGCCATCAAGTTCAAGCCACCGCCTTTAAAATACAAAGACTGTCCCAGAAAAAGCGAAAATTTACGAAGCTAACACATCAAACCAATAAAAATTGTTTAAAGTTTTACATCGTACACATTGTTAAAATAAGCTGCTTTTTACAATTTCATTGGTGTTTTGAAATATTTCTTATAGACTTCGTAAATACACCTAAAAAACGTAAACCTGCTTGCTGAATTAGTATTATATGGAAGTACCAAAGAAGTACGAGAAGCAATTTAAAAGGATAAAGACTTATAGAATGCCCACCCCCAGTGTGAAAGGAAACATATCCAAATTAGTAGTAGTAGTTATTTTAAAAAAAGCAAAAAACTTGACAAGAGGTTATCTGAGTTCTCCCTGAGAATGACAGGAACCTTCTCCAATGTTTTGTCATTCCAATGCAGGGTTTGTCAAGTCACAAGGAAAAAAATCTGATTAAACGAAAATGAACCTCACTGGAATATCACATGACCAGACATGTAGAATAACCCACCAGTTGACCAGCAGAAAAATAAAAGACACTCAGCAGCAGCTAAAGTCCATAAAAGTAATAAAGCCCAAGATAACATAAAATAGCATACAAATAAGCAAGTTGTCATCAAGAAAGAGCTTTGTAATTTATCCTTTCCCACGTCGTAACATTTAATTCATGCCAAAAAAGTTTAAATCTGATCATGGAGGAAATGAGCTTCTTTTCTAATTCTAGTACGTATATTTAAGCAGAACGAATGCTCATAGTTTTGAAAGTTCCTCTTTGTTTAACGGCTTGGAATGGAATTGGAAATTGTGGAAAATACGATGTTTTATATCTTCAGGGCTCGAAGTGTTTGTCTTCTGTGTAATTGTGCCATTCTTGTCACTCTTGACACGACACGCAAGATTACACAATTACACAATTACACAGAAGACAAACACTTTGAGCCCTGAAGATGATCTCAATAAAGATCGAAACGTTGGCATGATAAAAAAATGTTTTTTTGAAGCCTACATCACACCAGACCGCATCTCACGATTTCTAAATAAATATCGATTAATGGTCACTAATCACCACACATTTCTCTCAATTAATTAATCTTTTTATGTAAGATTTTGGTTGAAATGAAAAATTTAGTGTCACGAGCGGGATTCGAACCGAAGAAGCAAATAGATTATACGACATTGGAAAAATGACAAAAATGAGGTAAATTCGAAAGGTTAGGTTGAGATGGGACGTTAGTTCCGAGTGAATCGAAGTCACGATAGCTTAAGTGGTAGAACAGCGGCGTATTTAGCCGAAGGTCGTGGGTTCGAATTCCGCTCGTGACACTGACTTTTTTATCTCAACCAATACCTTACATAAAGATTGATTAATTGAAAGATTTTATTTGGTCAATCGGACCACGAAATGCTGACAAGGCACTGAGCACTCCAGCATAGATTTGAAGCACCATAAAATGCCTGTGCCAGAATAGGAGAAACAGCGGATCATATATTTTGGTTGCGACTACTAAAATTAGGACAATTTACTATTCGAATGATAGTAGAACTGCAAACTCTGTAGACTGTACATACACCCTAAGCAATAGAATTTAGCCTGAGAAGTAGTTGCTCTGTTGGTGTCTACAAATATTAAGACTAGTTAGGACTATAAAGAGGCACATGCATAGAGTCGAAGAAGTAGAAATAATAAGTGCAGTGTAGCCGGAAAAACGAAGAAACAGCGAAAAATGTCTGTTGTTAAGATGGCGGATTTCTACTCTATACTTGTTTCCCAAATATATAGAGAACCCTAGTAATCTTGAATAAATCTCTATGGTTAGCAACCTCGACCCGCAGGTTTTAAGAGACTCGCCACTCTACATCGATATAATGGAAATTCTATGGATTAAGGATTTTATATTACAAAGAACACCGTACTATTTTTTGGTAGCATATTTTAGACTCTAGAAAAAGCTCAATATTTGAATAAACTGGTAGTAATTTAGATGCTGACGTAAAGACGAGTCCATTCATACAGAAAGGCGGATTTCAAATCAAGCTTGCCATTAGGTATCACAAACTAACTGAAATTCTTCGTACGTGCCGGGATTCGAACCCAGGACACAGATACGAGTGGGACACCCTAACCACGCGGCAACCGTTTACCACTTGTACTACAAGAACCGTATGTGTACGGTCGTTGTGATTTAAGATTTTTGATCATTTCTGACCAAAAAAAAAAAAAAATTAGATAATAAAATTACAAACTTATTTGAACTATAATTTATATTAGAAAATTATATAGATGTAACACTGTTCGAATAATTTACTTGATCTTTAGTGGGATTTATTCGAAATATAAGATTTCGCTGTAATTATACAATTTTGCTCAAATGCTAATTCTAATCAATAATAGAGAGGAACTCGGACCAATTGAGCCTCAGGCACTCCAACGAACAATATAACATTGTTGATCCGGCAATTTAACAACACGACTTTTCAGACCTTCACCGTGATTTACACCGGTTCGGAATTAATCGGTCTACCGTTCCTGAAAATGAATCACATCATAAATTACATCTCTTACCGGGCAAGGTTAACCCTTTTTTCAAGGAAAAGTGTATATATGACGTAATTTTGACGCAAACTTAATATCTTATCAACAGATTTTTATCCAAACATTATACTCATTATGCTTCTAGTAGGCTTTTTTGAATATTCCACTGTACCATTTATATATTGTCAAGTGTCCTTATATAAAATAATGTGTCTTACTAACTTGCTACTGCTCTGTGGTTATTTAGGTAAGTAAAGCCAAATCAGCTCTCTCAATTCGTTTAACAATGCCTTAATCAATAATGTCTGGTCCGAGGGAATCAATAAGGACAGGTGTAACACGTGTGTACGTCCACTCCTTAAAATTTACATAACGACCGTCCTTCAGAATCAGCTCAGCGTCTGATCTATCCTTCCATTTTCTTCCCATACAAATTTCGCCATTTTGTCAAGGAGGATTTTCCTTTTATCTCTTGGCCGGAAGATGATAAACATTCGCGAATATTTGAATAGAAAAAAACGTAGGTTTTGTTCAACATATAAAATAAAAGTTTGTAACTTATATATATATATAGCAGAAACTTTGACCTCTGAAGAGGTGCAGTGTAATGAAAAATAAACCTCGCCTAACTTCATTCATTTTCAAACTGCTTGAAGAGAAAAGTAAACTCCATAAACTCAAATGATATGGATCTAATATATACTTTCCAGTTTATATCCTTAAAATCTCTTGAATACCCATTGAAGTATTTTCATTTGAATCGGAGAAGAAACTTTCGAATGTTATTTTTCAGATGATGTTTATACTTCCTATATAAAATCTTTTACTTATGTGCAATTAATTTCATTGCATTAACATAAAAAAGTAACACATTAGACAAAGACTGTTAAACACTGTGACCAATCATTATTCGGAAATCGTGAGATGCGGTCTGGTGTTACGTAGCTTTCAGAAAAACATGTTCTTTATCGTGCCAACGTTTCGATCTTTATTGAGATCATCTTCAGGGCCTCGGATTTACAAACATTGTTTAAAATTAACAAATTACAAGTATTCGTTAATTTTAAATAATGTTTGTAAATCCCAGGCCCTGAAGATGATCTCAATAAAGATAAAGACAACAAACAAACACTTTGAGTGAGTAGAAATAGTTTGATTAAATATAAAAATTTTTTTTTTGCATTGTATAAATTCACTTTTTTCCACATCCTCCATGTATTTGTTTAAGTTAAACAATGTTTGTAAATCCCAGGCCCTGAAGATGATTCCAATAAAGATCGAAACGTTGGCACGATAAAGAAAATCTTTTTTTAAACCTACGTCACACCAGACCTCATCTCACGATTTCCGAATAATCATAGACTAACGGTCACTGATCACCATACATTACTACTGTGACTAATATTGGTCTATTGTGCAATATTCATCACGGTCTAGAGCTTGTCGTTAACTTAAAGCAACTGGTCTTTAAAGGCCAGGAATAGAAATCTTAGAGCTGTTAAACCAAAAGAAAAGCTTTTCCGCTATGTTTTGTTTTTCCTAGCTTTCTTCAAGTATACACATGTAGCTCTGGATTTTGTAGTATCCGGTCAGCAGTCCTTCTATCACTCTAATGCTAATCTGTCCTAAGTTTTGTAGTCACAGACATAGGACGTCATCCGCTGTTTTATTATTTCTGGCCACAGGCTTCTATTTATTGTTCGGAATTCAGACATATGCCTCTGCAGTCTATCTGCCCAGCCAGTAGTCCTACCATCATTTCAGTCCTATCCCGTACTAGGTAGGTTTAGTAGTTCTGCCGTTAGTTTCTGCGACGGTTTATGAAATTTGTATATCTTTGCCCAGGAATAAAATTTCAATGAACCAAGGACTAAGTCTTAACCAATTGTCTCGTGGATCTAAGTTATTGGCAATTTGTCGTAAAAGGGTTCAGGGCCGCAAGGTATCCTCAGCAAGCATAAATGTTAAACAATGTTAAACATGTCCTTGATACAATCCCAAATTGCTCTGATCTTTACTACCGATGAGACAATTGTCTATATTTATTCCTTTTGCTGAATATCCAACTATTTGTTTTCCTTAGGACAGTACCACAGGTCTTCGCATGAAAGAGAGTGGCATATTCTTCAAGGATTATCTGAATTCTCCCTTAGGGCCATATGTGTACCAGCATAAGCAGTATCTGCGATCCTTTTCTCCTAGTCTGCTTTGCCTGGTACTTTAAGCAGAAATTTCTGATGAAATCTGTATTTTAGGATCATGGCATCAACAGGCAACTACAGTCCGCCTAAAGTTGGTGCCGAAACTTTAATTGATCCTTTTTAATCAATTTAATTTTAGCAAATGAACCATTTAAGTCTGTCCCTGCATCTGAATGAAATATGCATATGTGACGTATATATCGTGCTATTGACAAATTACAAGAAAATTAAAAGTTAATTGTTGTTAGACTTTTCCCCATTCGAAGAATAACGGCAAAGGAACAGAAATAAAAATTAAAAGAAACTTAATTTGAAATTAAGACACAATAAAAAAAAAGGAAATGCGGCTCTGACGTACATTTTTAACAA